GTGTAAGCAGCTGACATGATCCCGAGCTGTCATCGTGCGCGGTCGTACGACGCGAGTGTTCGTAGGCTTCGCGCTGTGAAGCCAGCTCGGGTAATTCTGCGCCGTAGCCGTCCCGTTGGACCTCGCTTCGTGCCGACCGCGTTCACCGCCCCGCATTAGCCGCTCGGAGGTCCGCGGTGCTGTCGCTCACCCCGGGTGCTCTGTCGCTCCAGAGCTCGCTCCTCGGACCTGGAGTTCTGTTCCCTGAACACCACTCTGTCCCCGTCCTCACTAGTCTCTGCGAGGCGTTCTTCCCCCTATTATTTTTAAAAATTATTTACTTAATTTTATGATATTTATTATTATTATTTTGATTTGCTATAGCACGTGGGCTCAACAGAGACAGAGGGACAGAGAAAGCAAGCCTCCAGGTCTGGCCTTGTGGGAGTGGGATGCCTTAACCACCATGCCACCTGCTGGCTCCCTTCCACATCCCCTTCCACTCTACTTCTGATTTTTTAGGAGAGGTTTTTGCTATAGGGCGCGTGTGCCTGCCAGAAAGAGAGACAGAGAGCTAGAAATCACCCCCCGGGGCGATGGCCATGCTGCAATCCCTTCTCCATTCTCCTTTCTGGATCTTGGGATCTTGGGCACGCACATATGCCCGGCGTGAGTTTCAGCCACTGGGTCTGGGACTCGAACCGCAGTCGACTACGTGGGAGTCCAGCGACATAGCCATTACGCCAACTGCTGGTCCCCGCCCTCCACTCTACTTCTGTAAGGCCTTTTTTCCCCCAGTATCTACTTGTAAAGGAAAATTGAAAAATTAGAAAAAAACAAGGTGGAAAGATGGGGCACCAGCAGGTGGCGTGGTGGTGAAGGCACTGGACACTCCCGCATGGCTGACCATGGGTTCGAGTCCTGGACCTGGCGGCTTGCTTTCTCACTTTTCTCTCTCTCTTGTCAAATTAAAATAAATGAATGAATGAATGAATAAAATAAAATAAATAATTTTTAAAAAAGGTGGAAAGAAACAATGAGGTGGCACATGCTGGCTCAGCGGTAAGACGGAGGCTCTGCTGGGCCAGTATTCATGGGAAGATGTCCCAGACACCTCCCTGAGCACACCTGGCATGTGGCCCTGTGACCCAGGAGTGTGCGTGTGGTCATTTACGTGAGCTGTGGTGCTGTCATTTTAATTAATTAGCTGACATATTTTATTTGGGGGCCAGCAGGTGGCGTGGTGGTTAGCGTGCTGGACTCCTACTTGGCTGGCCCCTGTTCGAGTCCTGGTCCCAGAGGCTTGGACAGCACACCAAGCACGCGTGCGCTGTGCATGTGCCCAGCTCTCAGGATAGTGGGTGGGAAGGGATTGTGGCACGGCACTCCCCGGGATTTCTCACGTTCCCTCTCAAGGTCTCTCTGGTGAGTGTACGTGCCCTATGGCAGAAGCTTAAAAAAAAATTGCAGTAGGGCAGGTGCTCTCACTAGAGAGAGAAAGAGAAGGGGGGCAGAGTGAGGAAGCGCCTCTGAGGGGATGGCCACAGTGCAGTCAGTCCCTTGTCCCCAGGTCTTCTCTTGGGACTTTGGGTACGCACGGACATGTGCCTGCAGTGTTTTTTTTTTATTTTTTGGAGAGGTTTTTGTGATAGGGCGCATGTGCTCGCCAGACAGAGAGAGACAGAGAGACAGAAAGCGAGAAGTCACCCCCCGGGGGGATGGTCACACCGCAATCCCTTCTCCTCCATTCTCCTCTCGGGATCTTGGGCACGCACGCACATACGCCCGGCGTGAGTTTTAAGCCACCGAGTCCAGGATGCGAACTGTGGTTGACTACGTGGGAATCCAGCAACATAGCCATTATGCTCACTGCTGGTCCTGCCTGGTGTGTTTTCAATCTGCTGGGTCTGGGACTCAAACTGTGCGGTTGGCCATGTGAGCTCCAGCCGCCTTAACCACCGTGCCACCTGCAGCTGTAATTTTAATGAATTTACGTGGAAGTTAGCCTGAGGACCTGGTGTCACCGTATCGTGTGGTGTCCTCTCTGGGATGGATGCAGCATGGTTTGGCCTGTCCCCTCACTCTGGCGTTAGCTCGCTTCTAGCCTCTGGGTACCAGCGTGGCAGGCAGAGTAATGGCCCCGTAGGTGTCCACATCCTGACCTCCGGGGCCTGTACTGTGGCACTTTGTGGGTCAGAGGGGACTCTGCAGATGTGTTTCAGGTAAGGACTCGAGGTGGGGGGTGGTCCTGGATCACCCGGGGCGGGGGTGTGATCTCCGGGGTCCTTGTGGGAGGGAAGAGGGCGGGTCGGAGTGGGAGGAGGGGCAGACGAACAGAGGCCGCTGTCCTGTGGCGGAGGGTGGAGGAGGGACACAGGCAAGGAAGTGGGGACCTCTGGCAAAGGCGAGGAAGGGGCTCCCCTGGAGGCTCCCGAGGGACGCGGCCCGCACGCACCGGGTTTTCTCCCAGGGAGGCCAGTCGGGACTTCTGACCCGCAGAACTCTAGGGCGGGATGGCTGGGGCTGGAAGCTCCTACGTGTGTGTGACTGTCACGTGGCGTGGGGACTGATCCCGCCTCGAGTGCTTTCCGGCAGGGGGGCGCCCTTACCGAGAACGTGATGGTGGCCGAGCTCAGAGCCGGTCTGTCTGTCGTTGGGGACGTGAGCAGAGGGGCTTGCCTGCCCGCAGTCGTACGTCGGACACGTGGGGTGAGACAAAACCACATGGACAGACAAAACCGCGTTTTGTTTTCTAACCTTCAGGGACTACGTCTCCGGCGGGGCTTGTCCTAGCAAGGCCACCATACCCGGGACG